AAGCTACAGTTCACAAAGACAATACCATATTTTTCACCCTATATGATGCACCCGACCATAAGATGCACCTAGATTTTAGAGGAGGAAAACAAGAAACAAGAAAGCAATGCAAAGCCTCTTGAGCGAAGAGGCAGGAGCGCTCCCGCTGCGCTCAGGAGGCTTTGCAGGGCTATCCCTGAAGCCAAGAGAGCAAGAGGGATCGGTGCACTGATCCCTCTTGCTCTCCTGGCTTCAGCGATAGCTGTGCAGCCTGCATTCACTCCATAAGACGCACACACACTTCTCCTTACTTTTTAGGAGGGGGAAAGTGCGTCTTATAGAGCAAAAAATACGGTATATGGTGTCAATATCCATGGTGTGGGAGAATAACCGTGCTCTTAAACTTAGCGGAGTAAGGAAAAGATTTGCTTCTTAATACTAAATTCTTGATAAAGTGCAGTTTTTACAATGCAGCTGACCAATATTCTTCTCCACCCCAAAGCTGCCTTCTGAACATGGTGACCTCCAGTTTTCTCTCAGCTACAATGACTATCTGGGCCGTCTCACGGTGGTAGTCCTGAGAGCTAAGGGCTTGAAGCTCCAGAATGAAAGACATGCTGTCGGTAAGAAACACAAGGCTTAATTGGGTTTTGTAGGAAATTAACCCTATTTACAGCACATTACTTGGGTCTCCAGCTGTTTTTGGACTACAATTCCCATCATCCCTGACCACTGGCCCTGCTGGCTAGGGGTGATGGGAGTTTTAGCCCAAAAACAGCTGGAGACCCAAGTTTTGGAAACCCAAGACTGAATATTTATGATATCAACACAGTCCACTGTCAGGGACTGGGCAAAGGAGGAATGGTGGAGACCGCCTCCCCAGCCTGACCCTTCCAGAGAAGATGAAGACAGTTCAGAATTACAACAGGGGCTTGAGGGAGGTCACAGCTCAGAGGCAGATGAGGGGAAAAGCTGGGAAATAATGGGAGAGGAGGAACAAGAAGCACCAGCTGATGGTCACAGTGTCTTTAGAAAGCATTCCAGACCTGCCCCCTCTCCCAGAACCCAGCAAGCACTGAAAGCAGGAGAGCAGAGAGCTCAAAGGCAGAGGGCACTTTTCAGCACCCGTAGTGATGACGCATGGAGAGAGGGAAGGGGTGGAGACTCACTTGGGGCAACGCCATTTTTCCACGAGGCTGCATTTCCAAGCTTCTCTCTGTGAATATTGAATAAAAAGCAGTTGGTAAGAACTTTTCCTTGTCTCATCCATTCCTGGCAACCTGCCGTGGGGGTTGGCTCCTCTGCCGCCTGACATCCACTGAGATAACGGAGGTTGCATTCCAAACTGTAGTTCCTTGAGGTGCAACACTTGGAAAAGGGGGTGTGAGTTGTGGATTTGTGCTCCTCTGGGTGCTTCCAACCTTTATTGAGGGGTTTACAGCCTCATCCCCTCATTCCAGGTGTATTTGTCAAAGTGTCACTAATGAAGCATAATCAATTCATCAAAAGCAAAAAGACCACGGTTGTTCCTGCATCCTCGGATCCATTGTACAATGAGACTTTCAGCTTCAAGGTGGACCAGCAGGAGCTGGATACAGCAAGCCTGAGCCTGTCTGTGCTCCAGGATTCAGAGGGAGAAGGTAAGGAGCTGTTTTCCATCTGGTTACCTGCATACTATTCTTGCATAGCATCTGATGACTTTTCTCCTTCCTGTTTTAGAAACTTCGCTGGGCCGTGTGGTTGTTGGGCCTTTCATGTACACCAGGGGCAAGGAACTGGAGCACTGGAATGAAATGATCAGTAAGCCCAAGGAGTTGGTGAAGAGGTGGCATGCTCTGTCTCTTAGCACCTGAAAGCTGGTGAGCACTCTTGCAAAGGATATCTGTAGCAAAGAGCTTTCTGCTGTGCTGTCTCCAGAACAGGTTCTTCAGATGTATCCTCAGTTTATGCCTATCACAGATGTTGGGTGATGTAGTGATCAAGACAGTTGACAATGTTGCTAAAAGTGCCAGATTTCACCTCAGATCTGCTCAGTTGCAAAGTGGAATTTGATCCTTAAAATTAGGAGAGCTCCCAAATCGGCGTGAGAGTGTTGGCCACGTATCCCATAGACCACTGAAATTTCATAGAATTGCAGAGTTGGAAGCGACCCGAGGGTCATCTAGTCCAATCCCCTGCACTGCAGGAATCTCAACTAGATTCTACATGACAGATGGCTATCCAACCTCTGCTTAAAAACCACCAAGGAAGGAGAGTCCACCACCTCTTGTGGAAGTCTGTGCCACTGTTGAACAGCTGTTACTGTCCGAAAACTCTTCCTGATGCTTAGTCAGAATCTCCTTCCTTGTAAATTGAATCCATTGGTTCAGATCCTAGCCTCTGGAGCAGGAGAAAACAAGCTGCATCCTATGTGACAGCCCTTTAAATGTTTGAAGATGGCTATCCTATCTCCTCTCAGTCTCCCCTTTACCAAGCTAAACATACCCAGTTCCCTCATCCGTTCCTCATAAGGCTTGGTTTCCAGACCCTTTATCATCTTGGTCCCCCTCCTCTGTACACATTCCAGCTTGTCAATATACTTCTTAAATTGCGGTGTCCAGAAATGGACACAGTACTCCAGATCTGACCAAGGCAGAATAGGGCAAGAACATAAGATTCTACTGGCTTGATCCCTGTATTTTAAACCCTTGGTTAGGAAGCACTGTGCCATTAAGAGTTTCCTTAGCAATATCAATTAATCAGATGTATTAGGAGGTAAGTGCATTAAGGATATAATTGAGCACAGAAGGCATGTTATGAAAGCTAGTTGGAGGCACATCTGCAGCGTTCTGGCTTTGGAATCTCTGGCCTCATTTATTGGAGCCATTTGCATTATCTCACTGGTCTGAGGCAGGTGGACAAAGCTTCTGTGCTGTTCCGTCTCTCTGAGAAGATGGATTCTGCTTCAGGTTGACTAAAGCATTGTTTCATCAGTCACAGGCAGAATGATAATGGATTATACTAGTGCGGGCTTCCTAAATCACCAGGCTGTGTTCATGTGTTGTGCTAATGCAAAATGGTGAAAAGGGGAAAAAATGGAAGCATTATCCAAAGTTCCTGTTTGAGTCTAGTCTTTCTGTTTAGGTCGGGGGGGGGGGGAAATCAAGCTGTGACCATTTGTTATGTTCTCCTAGTTGTGCGCAAGCCACTTTTTAAAAAATCAGAAAAGGTAATTTAATTTCAGTAACTCACTCGAGAGTTCAGCTCGTGATATTTTCTAATCATTAAATTATTCTTCAGTGAAGGAAAAAAAGAAAACGAGGAAATGAAACAGGCTTCCCTTTGAAGCAGGATGCAGTGTTAATTAATGCGAAGCATGAAAGCACCAGACTTCAATCTTGGTTTCCATTGTAATTCTGAGTTGTATCTGCCAAAGTCATACTTGGGATGTGTGCACATTGCAGCCAAACAATTTATTTTTTCACTTTGTTTTGGAGCTGGTGTTGGGGGGAAACTCATAATATGTATATATATTGTTGATTAAAACAGTGAACTAACAAAAACAAAGAGGAGAGAAAATGAATAATAAACCTTTTTTTTTTTTAATTACAGACTCCCTATGGGAATGTGACCTCTACTGTTGGCAGCAAAATGCCTCTGAATACCAGTTCCTGGGAATCACAGGTGGAAAGTGGGGAGTTGTGCTCAGGTCCTACTTTTGGGCATCTGGGTTGGCCATTGTGAGAACAGAATGCTGGTCTAGATGGGTCATTCGCCTGATTCAACAGAGCTCTTACATTCTTACAAAGGAAGTGAAAATCAAGTTTATTTATGTGCTGTTCTTGCCGTCAGAGCAAGCTGAGAGCAGTTACTTGGTTTTTGCTTGAAATGAAGCACCGGTCATGTCTTGGGGTCAGTTATGCTTTGGTTATTAGTCTGTAACGTTTTGCATTATGTTAAAGCAAGTGCTGTGAAGCCTTAGAAACAATGCATTTCCCTTGTCCCTTTCCTGTGTCTATCTCTTGTTATATATAAAAATACATTTTATGTGATTAAAAACAATTTGAACCAATGTGTTATTCTGGTAACTGTAGTCTGCTTCTCATAAGATGCTAGGCTCTGTTTAGTGAGTTGGTGTCAGTTTAGGGCTGCTTCCTGCTGGTTCCTTATCATAGGACTGAGTTTGCCCTTAAGCACTGGCCTGTTGCAACACAATTAATTGTGAGACCCACACCCACCCCTTTGAGCGTTTTGAAAGCTGCCTCCTGATGGATAGGAAGAATCCAATCAGAGAAGTTTAAAGGAAAGTCCTTGTATTTTCAGGGAAGCCACTCAGATGGCAAAAATTGCACGCCAAGTGGTTAACGGCAGTCAAGTAATTGCTTCTGATTGTGGCTCGCTCGGCATTTTTCCTCAAGTTACAACACACACTCAAGGGAGTCATGAGACAGAGCCATTCAGTGTGTGTGAGAAAAGGTCTCTAGCTTAGCCCATGCTGACTTCTTGTTGCTTCAAGTTGTGGGCATTTGTTCTCATGTGACTGAAATGTCGGTGGGCCACTACAAACCATCCAAAGTTCACAACAACTAGAGGTTCAAGGATACACTGGGGGGAGGAAATGATTGTTAAAGCAATTTAAGGCTCACTGGGGAGAGGAAATGATTGTTAAAGCAATTTAAGGCTGTAGTTTAGACATTGATCCCCCTGCCCCACAAAGAACAAGCCTAATAAACGGATCTGCTTTTGTGGCGGTGGTAGCGGCATGTGTTCATTAGATTTCTATTAAATGAAATATAATTTAAATTGTTTTCTTTCTTTCTCTGAATGTTACTATAGAAACAAGTGTTTGCTTTGGGACACGTCTGCAATTCTGTAGCGACATTTAACTCCAATCCAGGAAATGAGAGATTTCTGGTATGAATGCAGAAGTGTTAGTCAACAGTTTTATTTGATTTGTTAAAAAATAGCTGAAGTCACAGTCTGCAAGTCCATGAAAGGCTCTTCAGAGGAATAAAGAAAGATCAGACTCTGAAGTACACATCTACTTTCAAAAGTGAATTTTATTATAAATATCACTGTACAATGGTAAAAAAATGGTAAGAAAATTGGGGTTCATATGGAAAGGTGGAGTAGGGAAAACAGCTTTTTAGGTAAGACATTTAAAATGTTGACTGGATGTTTTCAAAATACCCCAATAATTAATCTTTCTTCTAGAAGAAAAATAATGGCAAGAGCAATATTAGTCACAAAAGCTAGTTTCATAATAATTACCAGAAGGATCTTGCACAGAAATAATTGCTGCTCATAAATAATACAAAGGGTATCTATAAAAATACAAAACCTGGGATATTTTATAAATGATTAAAAATAAATATTTCATTTCAGTATATATATTCAGAGATCAAGATGAAAATCCAGCAAATTGAAAGTCTTCTCCAAAGGGTAGCTATTTTCATCCAGTACAAAATGGCTCCTGATTTCCAAAATATAGGATGCTTGTGTGTCTGTGAGCAGCGAATGACACAGATCTGCTACTATCATGCCGTATGTGGTCTCTAAAGAAGGCGCTGCAAGAAACAATGAATGGTTCAAACATTATTATCACACACCTCCTTTCCAGTTTACACTCAAAGCTATTCTCCCTGGACAAGCCTCCTCATACATGAACAGGAAAAATAAGCTCTAACAGGGCTCCCCCAATAATCTTTCCTTTAGAACAATATGAAGCATTTTGTGACTTTCAGTAAAGCAGGGTAATCCATTCACAACTATCTAAAATTTAAAAATATAAGTGTTCAGAAAGAGTGAAGTCTGCCACTGCCATTGGATTCTTGGTTAATACTGAGGAAACCCCATGACTGTACAAGGGGGCACAGTGGATATCTGCAGAATAGAGAACCACAGGAGAGAGGGGTGGTGCTTCTGTGAGTAAAGTAGAAGGGGTGATATACTGTTCAATGGCATTCAGAAGATGCAAAACAGTAGTTAATAATTCACTTAGCGAAGTAATCTACAGCCTGGTTAACACATAGCATCAAACCATTGCTTGGACTATGGTTTGGTGCTTGTGAGTGCTTTACTCCTTCCTCATTTGTGACCACACCTCAAGGCCAAAGCTGGTTTGTGTGCTTTTGTTATAAAAGCAAGCCAAAGTAAAACAAGATAGCAGGGGTGCAAAGGGGCAAAAGGCAAATGTTGATTTATACCATTTTTTCTCATGCTAGAGCCAATATCTGCCTGCCAAGATATTGTGAAAAGCAAAGGAAAGAGGCCTGAGACGGGGATAAAGCACAAGATAAGGGCTCTAAGGCTGCAATATATTTAGAAAATGGAGTAACGTTCCCAATGGCCCAGTTTACCCTCCCAGACCACATAACCCTCAACTTACCTACCCATGACACCTGTGTTTGCATGTTGCAACAAGCCAGCCTGGTTTGTTTTCCCCCACACATGGCAGAGCCAGGAGCAGCAAACTATGATTTAATGGAACATGCAAACCAGGCCTCTGCCCCCAGGGTGGAAGAAGTTCCCAGAACAGTTGGTATGTCTCTGTCGGAGAAACACCTGAATAAACCTCTCCCAGTTTTAAGTTTAATGAGGATTTTTTTTAAAGGACTGGCATTAGGGAGAACTCCCACTTCACATAAGTAGAAGTTGAATAGCCGCAAACATTTGACCACTAGGTTTTGTCTGCTTTTTTTATTCAGTTACACAAATACAGTGGTACCTCAGGTTAAGTACTTAATTCGTTCCGGAGGTCCGTTCTTAACCTGAAACTGTTCTTAACCTGAAGCACCACTTTAGCTAATGGGGCCTCCTGCTGCCGCCGCGCCACCGGAGCACGATTTCTGTTCTCATCCTGAAGCCAAGTTCTTAAACCTGAGGTACTATTTCTGGGTTAGCGGAGTGTGTAACCTGAAGCATATGTAACCTGAAGCATATGTAACCCGAAGTACCACTGCAATTCATAGTGTATTACCTATAGCCTTGTTCAGCCACTCTGCTGGAATATTGAGGAACATTTTCTCCATTAGTTCTGACGCCACTTGAACGGACACATCACATTTCCCATCCTCTACAGTCATCAGTGCAGGTCTAAAGGAGGAAACAGGAAAAGTGATGTCAGTGCTAAGTCAAGTCAAGTCAAGTCAAGTCAAACTGTTTCATTTAAAAACTAGCAGTATAACTGTACCATAACTTCTCCCCCCTGCAGCCCCCAATAAGCGTTCAACTGTGTGGTTGGGGGATTCTCAAGAGCAGGCTTCCTCAACCTCGGCCCTCCAGATGTTTTTGGCCTACAACTCCCATGATCCCTAGCTAGCAGGACCAGTGGTCAGGGATGATGGGAATTGTAGTCTCAAAACATCTGGAAGGCCGAGGTTGAGGAAGCCTGCTCTAGAGCAAGGGAGTTGCAATTGTTAAGCTCCCCAAACTGTATTTTATTGTGGTCAACTTATAACACCTCAGAATAACCAGATATATGTATTCCCCTCCCTATACAAGAGGCTGAGTCAAAAGAACAAAGGTATTGATTGCATTTCCCCAAAGATTCTTCCAATATAGAGATCTTCTCTCTAAGCAACAATGCAGTTGAGCTTCTCTCCCATGAATGTCAAGTCAAGTCAAGTCAATGTTTATTACAGAAAACTGTCAGCATATTAAACCAGATTTTCTGCATAATTCTCTACATAAACAGTAAAAAATATCAATATGGGGTTTAACAATCAATATACTAATACTTAAAATACGTGTCCTGTCAGTGCTTGTGTTTAATGGCTTAATTTTTCATTACACCTGAGGATAAGATAATTAAGAGTATTATCACATTCAGTCACATACTGTTATCCATATGACAAGTTCTTTTTTCTTGCGTTATCTTGATTTAACGATTCGGTAAGGTACCTTGATTGAACAAGCAGGCAAAATTTGCTTCTACACAATATGCTAGTGTATTGTTTCAGTAGCCTTTCCTTGTATTTTAAAGTGGTAATATATTTATAAGACACTTTAGAAGCTGAATACTTACAGCCAGAGTGACTGCAACACTATTTGGATATTCCAGACATGAGCAAGAGGGGAAACCATGATTAAGTGAAGAATTTCTAATTCCTTCTAGATGTCATGTACTTGAATATCAGGGATTTGGGCATTTTAAATAATAAAATACATATTAAGAAGAACAGTGTTTAATTTCTAAAAAGAAAAGCCTGTTCAAAAGGTTGCCACAAAATTATATGCTCATATTTTCAAGCCCTTGTAATTCCAGATGAACAAGGATCCGTAGGAAGAAGCTCAACTGCATTGTTGCTTAGAGAGAAGATCTCTATATTGGAAGAATCTTTGGGGAAATGCAATCAATACCTTTGTTCTTTTGACTCAGCCTCTTGTATAGGGAGGGGAATACATATATCTGGTTATTCTGAGGTGTTATAAGTTGACCACAATAAAATACAGTTTGGGGAGCTTAACAATTGCAACTCCCTTGCTCTAGAGCAGGCTTCCTCAACCTCGGCCTTCCAGATGTTTTGAGACTACAATTCCCATCATCCCTGACCACTGGTCCTGCTAGCTAGGGATCATGGGAGTTGTAGGCCAAAAACATCTGGAGGGCCGAGGTTGAGGAAGCCTGCTCTTGAGAATCCCCCAACCACACAGTTGAACGCTTATTGGGGGCTGCAGGGGGGAGAAGTTATGGTACAGTTATACTGCTAGTTTTTAAATGAAACAGTTTAACTGTAGTGCAGCTAAAATCTTGAAAATGTCAAAGGACAGGCATCTGAAACTTGCTATGAATCTTGTTTTCTACCCTATAACTGAAAACTGAAATGATGATCTTGAAGACCATCCAGTGTCAAAGAGGGTTGTGCCTAAAGACAACATCTTATAATTTCCCTAAGAAAATAGTACCACTCATTTATTTTAGTAATAAATGGCATGAAGCTCTATACTTATGAACACCTCCACTTGTTGTTCAAATACACAAAAGCAGAGCCCCGGGGGGGGGGGAGTAGAGCAATAAGACTAAGGTTTTTAAAATAAATAAAAAATAAATACATGTTTGCAGCTGACCCTTCAAACAGGTCATGTGATTCAGAATAAATTCAAGGGGGGAAAGTATACTCAAGCATATCTAACTTTTGGCTTCTTGAGTCAAGGACGTTCTCAGCTTTGAAGTTCCAAACACTTGACTAATGGTGGTGCTTAATCAGTTCGCTCTCTGTATGCAAGCAATTAAGGTGAACCAAATCGGTTGGCAGCTGAGCAGCTATTTCAGTCCCCCACTAATACTTTTAATCAACTACAAATAAATTGCAATTTCAAAGAGAAGCAGGTTGAGATGCTTAATTTCGAAATATACTAAATAATTAACACAGGACACTGGCTTCTAACTATAGCATTATCAGTTCCTGATAAGGTCACTGGGAAAGATTTCACCAAACGTCATGCTCTTATAAAGTCAAAACCACTACAGGAAATTAAAGGCTTGTAGATGTAACTATTGGGACGCAGGTGGCGCTGTGGATTAAACCACAGAGCCTAGGACTTGCCGATCAGAAGGTCGGCTATTCAAATCCCCGAAATGGGGTGAGCTCCCGTTGCTCGGTCCCTGCTCCTGACAACCTAGCAGTTTGAAAGCACGTCAAAGTGCAAGTAGACAAATAGGTATTGCTCCAGCGGGAAGGTAAACGGAGTTTCCATGCGCTGCTCTGATTCACCAGTTAGTCATGCTGGCCACATGACCCGGAAGTTGTACGCCGGCTCCCTCAGCCAATAAAGCGAGATGAGCGCCGCAACCCCAGAGTCGGTCACGACTGGACCTAATGGTCAGGGGTCCCTTTACCTTTAGATGTAACTATTATTTGGTTTTACTACAACAATCAGATTTTAACTATTATAATATGTTAAATTCCATTTTGGGGAGAAGGGAGGAGGAAGGCAGGATGTAAATTCACATACCCACACCTGAAATAGAAACTTGACATTAATATACATACAGGGAGATAAAGAGAGATGCAAGGCACACTTTCACATTCTTAACTGCCCACCATGCCATTATTTTCAATCCTTGCTGCAGAGTTAAAAATAAGCTGTAGAAACCCAAGGAGCAATTAAGTGGACCAGGAAAGAGAAATGTCATGTTAATTTAATTGTTGCATGCAGTTCCTTAAACCAGACAAGAATCCATAATCATAAATGCAAATCAGATCCAGTATTTGCCTTTCAACAAATCTAATAGGCAAAAGAAATATTGGTAGGTGATAAATTCATTTAAGAAACCCTTTCAAATAGGATTTTCACAATAGGCTTTCTATACATCTCTTGCAGACAAGTACAAAATTATATTGTACAAAATTCGGTGTATAAGACTATAGACAAACCTGCCATTTGCCTCTCTCTACAGTATATTGTCTCCATGTGAATGCTAACTGCAGAGTTGCTACAAAGCCCTTAACATTTCTGAAAGAGACCACCTCAAATATCAGCTATTGCTATATTTAATAAAGTCAGATGCATCTGTGGATTTTGTGGGGCGGGGGTTTCCCACCTGCATAAACTATCCACTACTGCCACCTAGTGTTTGTTGTCAGGTTTCTCTTCCAACAGAAGTTGCTGAATTATTTCAGCAAGGTAATTGGCTTCTTAAAACATGATGCTGTTTCTAGTTTTTAATGAATTGCTGCTCCAACAGTTTTCCAGGGGTCTCTGTGTTACACTGGTACCCATAAACCTTTTGGACTTCAGCCTCAAGCTCTGTCAGCAACTTTTATTACCATGGGAATCACCAAAACAGATAGATAAAAATAGAGATTTCTATCCAATGAAATCATCCTGTTTGTATATCCTGTTTCTGCCTGTGCAATGGAACTTCCCCACTCCTCCCCCTGCATGTATACCAAAGCTGTTCTTGGGGGTTCCCTTCGGAAGAGAGGAGTGGAAGGGGAAGTTCTGTTGCACAAGCTGAAGTCCTTGTGTGACTGGGATGGACTTTGGCTGATACAACCCAAAGATCACACTTTGTAATGAAGTAATAGTAATTTATACAAAGATATGCATTAACACTTAGTTCTGTAACACTGACCAAACACAGTTTCTGTTAGACTGAGGTGTTTTTATCCTGTTGCACCACAACATTGTTTGCTTGGTATATGGAAGGACATAAAAACTAAACTAATACTTTAAATGGGAACTTGATGGTCTTTCGGGTTTATACACCATAAACACGTTCAATATTTAAATGGTGTAAACAATGCTTATATTAAAAGGTTGCATTTATAACCTGGCCTGCTAATCTCGTAATTTCCAGAAAGGGGTGTGAGACACTTGGCTCCTCCACAAGGTGCCCATTGCTATGGGCTGTAACAGGATAGGGATGCCAAGGCACACAGGCATCCCTTCCATAGGATTTGTCTTCATCTACCAGAAGAATCTACTTACCCTTCAACCCTCTGTGAAAAACTCACACAAAGTATTATCAGTTTTTCTACTACCCATTCATACCAAAGCAGTAAGAGTAGGGTGACAGAAAACCACAAGCCTAGTGAACGTAATTGACTCAATCTGACCCTGGGAGCATTTCACCAGACTGGATTGATTCCCTTTAAAACAATGTTATGGAGAGAATGTAGAAGTATAAATAAAACGTATCCCCTTTCACAATAATACACCTGCGGGCCAGATTCATATGTTAACATGGCAGCTACCGTCAAGTGATTCTCATTCACTCACTCACACATTCATTCATATATTCATTATACACACACTTTTTTACCTGTAGAATATCTTCACTTTATTAGAGGGTAAGCAGCTAACACACTGTTTGTAGATCTTGTTATCATCTATTTGTAGTTCAAGTCCACATTTTGCACAGCCCGCATAGGTGATCTGAGTAAGAGAAGCAAATATCTGCTGCAGTGAAGTTTTATAATCAAAGACAAGTTGTCCATGTGGAGAAGAGGCAACAGCAAACTTCAACTCTGAGATGCAGGCTTTCACTTGGATCATTCCTATGGAAACATAAAGGAGTTGTCTAGTTTCTTCTGCCGCCAAGAAAACAGGTAAATAATTATTGCCAACTGAATAATGGTAGCTACTTGCACTATCATGTAAACTAATTTTAATCTTATTCTAATCTTAATCTTAGTCTACAGTAAATCCCACTGAGTTCAATTGGATTGTCTTTAAGGTGTGTTAGATTGCAACCTAAACAGCTCTTCTTCACTGAACCAAATTAGATCAACAATGACACGTGGAGCTCTTTTCTCCTTATGGTCCAGATACTTCTTTAAAGAGCATTAAACATATTTCCCTTTGGGTTGGCATTCAATCACCAGGATTGCACAGATGTGGGACAACTCTAATTTAATTAGATACTTGGCATTGTGTGCTCCTTGTTTTATTTTTAATTGCTGTGATTTGCCCCCTCAAAGCTCTTCAGTACAATTTAATAAAGGAGCAAAAGAATCCTACTCCCTTAAAAAGAGGGAGGAAAAAAGAATGAAAATCTCACCAGAACATTTTTCCTCCAGAAGTGCAGCAAGAGTAGTTACACCCATCAGTGATCTGACATCCTTCTGAAACTTCTCTTTGAACTCAATAGCTCTTCTATCATCATCGAAGAGGCACTCCAAAGATGTCCATGGTGTTGTATGCAATTCGAGTTCACCAGAGATAGGACTGTGTTTTACAAATAGGTATTTGAATTCCCATATGTGGTCTAAGAAGAAAAGAATAACTCCACTTATAATTTTAGATTCTAATTCCTTGTTAATAGCCACAGAAAACTTTGGATGGAATAGTGCACTTTCAGAGATCATGAAAAAGAGGAATACCTTCAATGCTGTGTGCAAAAAACAAATACATAGCATTTTGAGTGTTTACAAACCAGATACATTTGCCTAGTTTACACAAACATCTTGCTTGGGAGATACTATGAGTGGTGAGGAAGTCACATCAGGGCCAACCCATCCTACTCACCAAATACATCTGTCCCATGTATGAATGTAAAGCAGGGGTGGAGAACCTGTGGCCCCTCCAGATGCTACTGGATCCCAACTTCCATCAGTCCCAGCCAGCATGGCCAATGACAGGGATGCTAGGAGCTGTAGTCAAGCAACATCTGGAGGGCCACAGGTTCCTCAGCCAATGAAAGTTTGCACAGGGCCAATGCCTTTAGAATCCAAATCACATAGACCAGGGGTCAGCAAACTTTTTCAGCAGGGGGCTGGTCCACTGTCCCTCAGACATTGTGGGGGGCCGGACTATATTTTGGGGGGGAAATAAAGAATTCCTATACCCCACAATTAACCCAGAGATGCATTTTAATTAGAAGCATATATTCTACTCATGTAAAAACACCAGGCAGGCCCCACAAATAACCCAGAGATGCATTTTAAATAAAAGGACACATTCTACTCATATAAAATACGCTGATTCCTGGACTGCCCGCGGGCCGGATTTAGAAGGCGATTGGGCCGGATCCGGGCCCTAGTTTGCCTACCCATGACACAGACACATATCATATGGTCAATTCCCACACAGGTCACGTATTGCATAGTTTGAGCTTGCTCCTATTGGATGAATATTTCATTACAATCAAGCTGAGAAAAGGCAACCGCTAAAGGTCTCCTAGTGTACTCATAGCTGGGAAGAGATTTCAATTTCCTGGCTTACAGATCATGACCAAAACCACTGCACAACATCTCTTTACAATCCTTGCAACAAAAGATAGAGGTATTTCAATTTCAATACATATGAACACTTCTTTATATTCAGAATAAATGTTACTGTATCTTCTGAGGAACGTGCTCAAAATTACAATCTCACACAATTAATATATTTATAATGAAATAATGGCTTGTAAATACTTTGATTTCCAACAGAAATGACCTCTGTATGCTGATCTATTTTCCTATGCTCAGTAGTACTATGAATGATCAACACATGCTGCTATGGTGAGTCAGTCATAATGCTCAGTTGTCATGACCTACAGCCCTGGTTGGCATGAAGTGAACTCCTGATCCTGGTAGTCTTGATAGGAACATTTAGGATTTTTCAACAGAGATAGATATTTGGACAGTTAAGAACACAAATCTTATCTTACCTTCCAGACATAGTCCTTTAATGATTAAACACAAATTGTTTGAAATTTCAAATTACTCACAAAACTAACTGTAGACTAAATTGCAAGGTTGAATGACAAAGAAGGGCACAATGCTAGATTTCTTTGCCTTAATTTAACAAAGCAGAGCTTGAAATAAATGCTATAAAAAGCAGTCAGCTACCTGCAGTTGTTTAAAGAGCAGAAATCTTAATATTTTTGCACAGGGACACACAAGATGACCCTGCAATATACATGGACATATATCACATAACGATAGGCAGTTTGCTAGTTCTAACATAAGCCAAGACTACTGTGTGAATTTGTGTTGCTTAACACAAAAGTCTTTAACTAGTTAGTAACTATTTGGAAACAAACTGAAACAGTTGCAAAAATGATTGATATTGCTATTTCAGAAGAAAGAAATCAGCCATATATTTGACAGGCATTTGTATTATACAGTATGAGATAGCCATTTCAAACAAAAAGGAGATTAGGGTCAAATGATAAAGACTCTCCTCCCCGAAGGGGAGGGGAGGGGTTGTGGTCGGGGCTCGAGCTCCGGCTAGCAGGGGGCGTGGCCCCCTGCTGCCCACTCACCTGGCTGGCGCTCACGCCCCCTCGGTGGCCATCCAACCGGGGGCCACGGTGGGGGCGTGTTCAGCAGCATTTTGCTGCAGCGCCAGCCTTCCCCCGGCCTCATTCTTCCTCCTTCGCCCCTCGCGAGTCACCCACCCTCCACTCCCTTTAGTTAGGGCTCAGGTTTTCGGCCTTGCTATGGACCTTAGGTTGGTCGCCCTGGTTGGCTGGGGGGCCTGGTAGGAGTTTTTCCATTTGGCACTAGGCTAATTGGTTTTTTCGCCTACCTCGTAGCAATCGTCACAACTTTTGTGGTATTGGTGGGTAGGTTAGGCATTGGAATAATGTGTTGCGCTGTGTGGAAGTGCTAGGTGTGGCCATCGCCTATGCCTTCAATTTTTAGGGGTATTCCGTTAAAGGAATCTGGGGGTCGTGTATTCCGTCCGATGCCTGCTTGGCGGGAGGCCTTGGCACGACCCTCGGTGACAGCAGGGGTGAGCCTATAGCATACTGTTTGCTCCCTTCTGTTGCCCTATGTCAATGGATTACACAAAGAATTCCACAAATATTGCATTAAACCAAGTAGTGACTTTTTACCTCTTTTCCTTTGAAGCTGAGGACAGTGAGCTGATAGAGCGCCCCATAACACCAAGACATAATGCTGGTCCTTCATCTGTTCCACTGTTAAAATAATTTTTCTTTTTGTTTCTCCTTTGTAACTGTATGTAGATTCTAAAGATAAAATATTGCAAATGCAAACGTGATTTATATAGAAGTTGAGGGGGGGAGTAGTTGAGGGTGCTGATGTCAAGTAAAGCAGAATTTTGACACCTAAAATTATATGCAAGAGGGAAAAACTAATAATTCAGCTGAACATGCATCAGGTGGAGCCTGGTTAACTACACCGTATTAAACAACCATATTTTCAGAAACTATTATGAACCACAATTAGGAAATGGTACAAGTTAATGGTTGATCAACATTTCCTGAAAATCTTTTCCCAAACACTGAGTGACCTGGCCCCATCAAATATATTGTATTTATATGCTGTTTTAGACTACAACACAATGAACTACTTTTGGTTTTGACCTTCCCCCGTCGAACAGCAGATCTCCATGCCAGGTCACAAACTATGTACTTTGAAAGTTCCCTTGGTTTTGAAAAGGAGTTACTATGTGGAACATGAAGGGATGTTTTTAAAAAACAAGTCTTTGGGCACGTGGAATAAGCCATATAGTACTCTGCATCCTGGACATAAAAGCTTCCTTTCAAACAGGATGAAAATTCATTAACAAGCAGCAACTCTTTTATGTGTGATGCTACATATATAAATGCAATCAATCCATGAATCAATCAATAACCTGTTTCCAAAATGAACAAAAATGAAAACAGGTACTACAGTGAATACTTTGAGTTAACCCTTAACCAGTTTCAGAAGGCATTTCTTTCAGAATGTCAGAAATATCTGTGCATTCTGAGGATCTCACTTTTGGAACAAGGAAGGTGCTACATAGATTAAAAAGATAACTGGTGAAAGGAACATGCCATTATTTTTGCTCTCTGAGAATGCCAGGTAATAGCTCTCCAATCATACACTCATTTTAGGAAATCTAGACCTATCGTCAATTCTTATCTATGTTATTAATCATTAGTACTGAAGAATCTGGGACAGAGCACATGGCTCTATCGTTAGCCATGTGAGCCACCTCACCGAAATCACTGGCTTAGCTTCACTAGTAAGGTATGTTGTTAAATCAGATGAGCCCTCAATACCTAACAAATGGAAACATTATTTGTAAGAAGGGAAACTTCAGGTAGTCTCATAAACCAAACAATGACCATTTTCTTATCTATAGTATTTCAGGTACCTTCGCCTTGAGAAGGATCTGCAAAGTCTGTTTAAGTATTTAGTGAGAGGACAGAAAGATGTCGCAGAAGAAATAGTTGTATTAACACGCTTAGTGGCTGTTTTCTCTCAGACAGGTAAGTCAGAGGGAGGTATCTTTTCAAGGTCTACTCTTAGGTTTTTAAAATCTGTAGCCAGGGAACTATCATGTCCACCTTATTCTTTTCAATCTCAAGATACAGCCCCAGTGAAATATAGGATTAAAAAGTCAACTGACCTGATAGCACAGTGATGTTGATAATTTTCACTATTGCGTGCACCAATCTATCTGGTTTGAGTTGATCTAGTTGAATATATTGTATATTGTTCAAAGTCTGGGTCTGCCTTTGGGGGAGAGCTTGAAGATAGGCTTGCTTGGAAAACACATATGCCAGCAAATCCTGAAGAATATTAACATCCACTATATGCGAGACTAGAAAAGAACATATATAAAATTGTAAAAATACCTCTAATTTTTGGGCAGGGGGGCTGTATGTTTCACCTATGGTAATCTCAGACCAAAATACCACTTGCAAGCATAACTAGCAATGTTCTTAACTTAATTCAGGAATTATAATAATTTAAAAATTAAAGGTAAAGGTAAAGGTACCCCTGCCCGTACGGGCCAGTTGTGTCCGACTCTAGGGTTGTGCGCCCATCTCACTTAAGAGGCCGGGGGCCAGCGTTGTCCGGAGACACTTCCAGGTCACGTGGCCAGCGTGACGAAGCTCCTCTGGTGAGCCGGAACCAGTGCAGCACAAGGAAACGCCGTTTACCTTCCCGCTAGAAAGCGGTACCTATTTATATACTTGCACTTAGGGGTGCTTTCGAACTGCTAGGTGGGCAGGAGCTGGGACCAAAAGACGGGAGCTCACCCCGCCGCGGGGATTCGAACCGCCGACCACGCAATCGGCAAGCCCTAGGCACTGAGGTTTTACCCACAGCGCCACCCGCGTCCCTTCAATTTAAAAATTATGTACTACTTAATGCTAAAATAAGCTTCTAAGCAGTTAGAAATAAATTTTAAAGATATATATTCAATGCAAATACAATCTCAGAAGTGATAGTTAACTAAGTTTTACTCAGGGTAAGCCCATTGAAATTAATGGACCTTAGTCAGCATCTCTACTGAGTAAAACATAGTTTAATACCACTCAGAAGGCACTCATAAAGGCAGAATTTGTACATCAGGGTAAAACATAGTTTTGCTCCTCTCCACTAACCAGTGGGAGCAACAATCCATGTTGTTGTATCCAAGCTTATACCATAGCTTGTTTCATCCAAACAAACCTTGATTAGTAAACCAAACACAAACCTTGATAACACCATGGTTTGTTTGCTGTGGAACAAATCATAATTCTCCAGAGATCATGGTTTGCTGCTACTGCTGACTAGAGGGAAGGAATGAAAGAGCCTTCTGCACATCTGCAATGTGGTTTACCATGATGTGTGAATGCTGCCACTGTGATTCATGTGTTTAAAAAAGGCATCATTTATCTGATGAGTATGGTGTGTTTATTCAGGATTATTTTTTTTATCACACTGGCCCTGTTCAATTTCTTTCTACGAGAGCATCCTCAGCTCTTCTCATCAGCAGACAGAAATTGATGCTCAATCACATCACCTGCACCCATGCCTTCCCTGAACCTAATGTCTGAACCTAGATTGAAATTCAGGTAGATATTGGGATACAGAAGTATTATTGGGGACAGCAGGATAGGGAAGAAAGTAAGTGGACAAGCATATAACATGCGCATTTCATGTAGAAAAATGTTTGATTGAGCCATAGGTATGCCACACACGTTCTAGTGCTCCTCGTGCATTAAATATTTGGATTAAATTTGTCTGAAGGTATGAACTTTAGTAAAAGAAGTGATATTGTCAGGTAACTGCCATCAAAACAGGGGCGGGAAACAGAGGGGCAGTTGTGTTACAGGGAGCCTCCGAAAATCTTGCGAAGCAGTTCCTCTTCTGGTGATGAGGAAAGCCCCACCTCCAGTGGGGAAGAGGTGAAAGGACCAGAGGATGCTGGTGGGAGCCTCAGTACCGCTCCTGGCCAAGCCGGCCAGGAAGGAAGCATGCCCCTTCCGTTGCCCGCCCTGCGCAGAAATCTAAAGTGCAAAGAAGAAAGGAAATGGCTGGGCGTAATGAGACTTTTATGTTGGGGGAGGTCCAGGAAAAAAGCACTCCCGGATTCTGCTAGCGATTGAGGTAGACATGAACTTGTGGCTCTGCACTGTAAATAGTTTGTACTAAAATAAAACCTGTAAAAGACAGGTCTGAGTCCTGCCTAGTTACTCACGAGCAACCACCACTGCCATCTGACAGATATTATGCAACCATTTCAAGAAAGTTTGGGAAATACTAGATTTAAATTATTAAGGAAATCATGAATTGGGACAAGAGTTCACTGTATGCAAAGTATTAAAGCTCACATTTGTTCGGATTAATAGTCGAGCAGCTTCCAAGATTCAATAACCGACTAGTGAACGTTGACTGCAGCAATATTTCCCCATTCCAGCGATTCTCATTTATAATCACATCTGCAATGAAGAGAAGAAACCTCAGTCCAGGTCACCGGGGGGCGGACAACGATGACACAGACATATCCCACTTCAAATCTACAAACTGGACTAGCCCCTGTTCAAAAACTGAAAGCCACCACCAAGTTGTTCAAGCTTTGCATGACTTTTTATATATTTAATCTGTCTGAATTGGGCAAAGATATGGTAATATTAAAAGTCCAGCTTTGAATCCAAATTTTGGCTTCAAAACACATTGTGGAGAACCCTTCACCACTGCCAGTTTCTGTTAGGGCGACAGTAAATACAGTTCTGATGGGGAAAAAGAATGATTTTTCAAAGTTGAGTCTTCGGAGATAGCATAAGTTTTGCCAAGCCTCCAATCCATGTTTTTATGAATTGAGCCACCAACTGTTTTCTTTCTCCTCCATCATTGTGGCAAACACTGATCAGTACTTGACCTCCCAACAAAAATCAGAAACTCACTTCAAACCCTGACTTTGGAGGGCAAACACTAAATGCTTTTCAATTCCAGTGCAACAGCAAATCATGTTTATCGTTAAGCTGCAAACTGACAGTGATGCCACATGCAAGGAAAGGAGAAGTGAGTGCAAAGGTTGTTTCTGATCATCCAAACTGAGCAGATGCATGTTGAGAAAAGAAAAATCCCTTATTTAATTGTGTTCCAATTCAGTTGCTGCCTTGAATTGAGGCAGCATTAAAAACAAATGCGGGGAGCGGAGGGTAATAGATTATGCATTGTCATGATATTGTTTGATAGAGGTTTCTTGGATGTTCCAAATAGCTAGGAAGCATTAATTGTATGGTGGAGCTGGAGAGCAACTCCTCTACCACATCTCTATAGCTGTAGTGTAATTTTTATAAAAAGGGACGCGGGTGGCGCTGTGGGTAAAAGCCTCAGCGCCTAGGGCTTGCCGATCGAAAGGTCGGCGGTTCGAATCCCCGCGGCGGGGTGCGCTCCCGTTGTTTGGTCCCAGCGCCTGCCAACCTAGCAGTTTGAAAGCACCCCCGGGTGCAAGTAGATAAATAGGGACCGCTTACTAGCAGGAAGGTAAACGGCGTTTCCGTGTGCGGCTCTGGCTCGCCAGAGCAGCAATGTCACGCTGGCCACGTGACCTGGAAGTGTCTCCGGACAGCGCTGGCCCCCGGCCTCTTGAGTGAGATGGGCGCACAACCCTAGAGTCTGTCAAGACTGGCCCGTATGGGCAGGGGTACCTTTACCTTTAATTTTTATAAATGTGCTTACAATAGGGAATGTGTTTCAGGAGACACTTAACATTGTACCCGAGACTCGGCAGAAAGGTATAGACCATCGACCAGTTCGCTTTATAAAATACTTCCTATGGAAAATGTCATAAATGAACTGATAAGCGCCATTTTAACCCTCACCTGTGAATAGTACTATATCGCCAGGAAACATTGTAAGTGACCAAAATGCTGCTGCTCTCCACAATGCAATCTTTCGTTGTACTTCAGACTGATCAAAAACTACGACTGTGGCTAGGGGGACTCTTGAGGACAATTTAGATCCTGGCTTTGTTTGTATTTCTTTAATATGGCAAGGATGTAGAACTGTGACCAAGACGGTGTACTTCTGACCTTTGCATAAACAGTCTTTAAGCAGGGATGGCTGTTTCAAAACTTTCTTAAACCCTGAAATTCTCAGTTGCTCTATTTGTGGAACTGCACAAACTGGAGAACAAATCAATTTGGCTTTCTTTGATTGCTGTTGGTCTCCAAGTGTAATGTAAGTTGCCGGTGAAATATCTTCAGATGTTTGAGATCTTTTAGCAGAGTGGCTGACTTGAGAACACAATATTCCTTTCTTCCACGGTTCAATATGATGTACCTCTTTTTTAGGTTTATCATCAGATGAACACAAATGGTCTGTAGGCATATCAGCATTTTCTTGAAAGCTATTTTCTCTCAAATACGAGTTGCTTTTCACGGTACTATCAAAGTCAAACAGTTCAAGAGAGCTATCTGTATCAGTGATATTTGCACACAAACCACCACTTTCATTTAACTGAATATGCAGCTCTGTGGATGCTTCATCTTCCCTACAAAGTCCATCCAATTCTGTTCCACTCGCCTTTGTAGATTTGCTTTGTGTTTCATTTTGTCCTACAGCATGCCCTCCTGAAAGCAGAGCAACTTGGCTTGAAGTCAGAATACTAAGGAATTCAGTGTCTGTTGAAACTGGAAGATTTGAATAGACATTTAGTGGTTTTCCAGTCTTTGATTCTTTCATTACTTGTGGGAAACATCCCTCCGAGTATTGATTCAAGAGCTGGTAATGAGCACACTGAACATCGGATGGTTTATCATCCTGTCCTATAGACTCCAGACCTCTGCTAAACTTTTCGGTACTAGAAGCCAAGGGAAGAATAGTAAGGTGGTTATGCATCTTACTGGTACCTTCTTCAGCATCTTCAGACTGCTTGCTTGGTTCACCTGTTTTTATATCAGTGAGAAGCTGCTGATATGGAAGTTGCTTAGCTTCATTGCTGAGTAATTTTACCCTTCCAGCACCAGCTCTACAGTCTGTCAAAATAACATCAGTCAACCCATATTCTTTTCCACCATCTGGGGGGAAGTCATCTTTGGACTGAGCAGTCAATTCTGTATCATTCGGTGTCCGATGATCTACATGTTCAAGAAACATACATTTTCTAGTACCAAGATTAAAAGTGTCCTTAGGAAATGAAAAGTAGAGTTTCTGCCATTTTTCAGCAGTAGATGCTGAAAACCTCTCTTCTTTAGAAGTCTTTAATGAGGCTGGGAGGCTAGGTGCACCAAAGAAAATATGAATTTGAGGTGCTGCAGACATGCTGTTCTTTCAGTTTTTTGATTATGAAAATTTTAATAAATATAATAGTTCATTTAACACACGGTGCTTAAAATGTGACTTATAATCTTCATTTTTCAAATAATTCATTAAAGGGTAGCAATATTAATATTTCATACAAATTACCCAATAAAAAATTCCATCCTACTGATTTGGAAAGTGGTTAAGTAATCCCTAATAAAACATTACAAACTGAAATGTTTCATACAACTGAAAGACTTAATAAATGGTACAGTTTGTGTTTTAAAGAGCCCAAAGCACTATGGTGTTCAACAGCCATTTCTACCCAATGTGACTTTTATGGGATGTTCCTTATTACTTTTTGGTCCCTAGCAAAGAGTCACAGTGAACCTGGGAAACATGCTTCAACAGCATCAGACTTCTTAAGGGAAAGGGTACTATTGTCTCTAAAACGTAGCTGTGTTTGTTAACTTTTAGTTAAATATCCAGGTTTATTGAAATGCATGAAGACAAGGAGATGAACATCACCAATGAAATTTTTCAGTCATGTTTCTATGCTGAAATATTATGATTTTCATATTATTCAAATCTGGATGTTCACTGCTACTTGGCACTTTGGACATCAGCTTCTGCTCACATCTGGCATTTTTTCTGAAGTGATGGCAAAACACGCACAATCATGAATGCTTCCACTTGAAATCAGGAGCCCAAGATCTCTGATATGTATTCCAGATTTTTGATCTTCTGTAAAATATTTTTAAAAACAAGCACAACGCTCAATAAAATTCTTAAGCATTTATTACTTAACACATAAAACAATTATTTATATTCTATTTTCCTTCTTAAAGAGGAACCCAGAGCAGGTTACAATAAGAAACATTTCCTTCTCATTTAATCCATATTCTTAGTTGCCCATCAGAGGTCACCAAATCCTTAGAAAACTATGAGTAGACTCTACATTGTAGCATGACTGTATGAGGCAGGCGCGCGCACACACACACACACACACACACACACACATTTTATAATCAATCCAGTTCTGGAGCAATATTAAACATACCCTAACATATTTATTTACTCTCTGCCCTAGTATAGACAAGTGTTTTATTTCAAGTGGAATCTAAAACTGAGATTCCTTTTTTTATGAAATAATTTTTTTATTAGATTTCAATTACATTCCAATAATAGCCTCATTATAACAATACCAATTTATAACCCAGCATCAAAGCCAAAAATCAGGTGTTCACTCTCATTACCAAAGCAGTTCAGTTTAGGAAGAATCAGAACAAAGGGACACACCAAAAGCGAAAGAGGACTGTGAAATGCAGTGGGCAGGATTAATTGGGTACGGGTGCTTTAGGCACACATTATTTATTGTGGCTTCAAGGATCTTGTGGGTGAGCAACTGTCCACATTACACTTTAAAACAGTTCCAAGTTCAACAACACAGTGAAGAAAATGGGTTGATCACATCCAGCGGAAACAAAAAGAATAACCCAGTACTTATAGGTAATTTATAAAAAGAAAATAATGGCAGGGATGAAGTAGACAGAAGGTAAAAAGAGAAATTGAGAACACTGCTCAGTGTTGCCTAATCCAAGGCTAAGGTTTTCAAATAACATCTGTAGGATTTAAATGGGTCTGGTAAAAGAGAAAGATCAGCCAAGGTCATCATGAACCACAAACTCTGAGAAAGATGCAATACTGCTGGAAACAGCAGTGCCAAAGCAAAGATTAAAGGTCATGCAGTGTCTGACAAAAGTCATGATGAAACTTTAGGCACTGGCCTACTATCAACAGGATAGAGTTTGCTACCTCTGAGTTGTAGAGATCAAAAGTGACAGAGGAATGACAAGAGTAATTAATTTGTTTAGGTCAACCCCACAGAGCATAGGTTTCAGACCACTTGCCCCATTTGTTCATTAGTATATTACATTTAACTTACTTCTGTTATAATTTTATCCAGCCCTTCTTCCCATAGGGCAGTGTACACATTGTAAAAAACACACACACAAAAAACCAAACAATCCATTTAAACATTTAAAACCAATAGCCATATAGAAGTAATATCAGTACAAGAGTTTAAATATAATGTGGTACCTCTGGTTGCGTACTTAATTCATTCTGGAAGTATGTTCTTAACCTGAAACTGTTCTTAACCTGAAGCACCACTTTAGCTAATGGGGCCTCCCGCTGCTGCTGCACGATTTCTGTTCTCATCCTGAAGCAAAGTTCTTAACCCGAGGTACTATTTCTGGGTTAGCGGAGTCTGTAACCTGAAGCGTATGTAACCTGAAGTGTCTGTAACCCGAGGTACCACTGTACAATGAATTGTAGTTGGAAGGGATCCCAAGGCTCATCTATCCAAATGCCTGCAATGCAGGAATTGCAACTACATCATACATGACAGATAGCTATCCAACCTCTGCTTTGTCTTACCCACAAAGAGAAAGTAAAATATACAAGTAGGAACTGCAACAAAATGTTGCAGTGTGTAGTACTACTATTGAGGGTTCTAGTCATCCAACAATGTCTCCTTTTGGGATTCTCCATTCAATTCCTCATCCAACTTTACAATTCTATGATTCTATGATCTCCTCTTGCTTTTGGCCTCGCAGACAACATACATGTAGCCTCCTATGGCTGCTGGGCGGCGGAGGGGGGGGTTGTTCCTAAAGCTTTCCCCTATAACTTTTACAAACCTAGGGGTTCCTCTAAACATGCTGATACCTTCTTCTTTCTCAGTGGCACCATTTAGATTACATAGCCATCATAACTCAGCACCTGAGAATACTATTAGTATATATAGCACTTCAATTCTTTGCTCATTCTTCCTAACTTAAAGAACTTCCTGCAAGCAGAAAACAAAATACTACAAACAATTTGAAACAGAGCCTTCTAGAGCATTAAAAACTCTGGAGAAGCTGTATTGTGCTTGATTCTGGAAGAAATTCATTTCCCCCAAATAGTAGGGTTATCATTATATTGAGGCACTACCTAAAGCATACTAACAAAAACAGGAGGAGCTGTACTACACACCGAGAGATATATACTAAGCTACTTTCTGTAAACAGCAGGGAATGTTTCCCACTAAATTAAGTTCCTGCAAAGGTCAATTCAGAAATAGATCACCTAAGTAAAGAAAGCACTCCATGCTTGACCTGACAAAATCATCATAATCTCAGATTTCAGTAAAACACACTGGTTTAATTTAATTTAGAAAAACAAAACCTTTCAGTGGAGGAACGGGAAAGAGGGAGAAAGAAGAACGCTGGTTTCACTCAGCATTCCTAGAGGTTGATACCACAGATGGGAACAAACTTCTTAAGTGGCAGCACTCCAAATCACTGCTGACAGATGTTCATTCAGACTGCAATCTCTGAATATCAATGCCAAGATTTTGGGGTTCTCCCTCACATTAGCTAGATGGGCTGAGGTTCATGCAATTCCTGCTATGTAGAAGGCTACAAAAAAATTCACCCACTCCCAAGCCATGTCTACTTTCAATGAGATTTTGTATAATCAGCGGGGAACTTTACATTATTTATAGCTTTGCATCTTCTACACAGACTGTAGCGAAATCTATACAATAATAAGAAAAACTGTTGCTTTGGAATTAAATGTTTACAAGCTGGGGATACAATCTTGCATCTAATGCTATGCTTTTAAACTAGGTGACCACAGCAGAACCAAGTGTGTACAGTGGTACCTTGGTTCTCAAACTTACCGGTAATCTGTTCTGGGAGTCCGTTCAACTCCTAAAATCATTCGAAAACCAAGGTGCGGCTTTTGATTGGCTGCAGGAGTTTCTTGCACTCAAGTGGAAGCTGTGTTGGACATTTGGCTTCCGAAAAACATTTGCAAACCAGAACACTTACTTCCGGGTTTGCGGCATTCGGGAGCCGATTTGTTCAACAATTAAGCCGTTCAAGAACCAAGGTACCACTGTATACCAAATAACTGGATTCATCCAAGAGACTGCTGACTCACCTGAGCATCTTGACCCAAAGATGATAAATTTGACACTGCACTATAATTGCCTAGATTAGAAGGAACAATAGTTGGTTTTTGTTCAGACCTGCAAGTACTCACTCGTTCAGATTAGCACGAACAGTTGAGTTTAGAAGTAACATTAAACCACAAGACATAATAAACCATAGTTAATTTAAAACAGGAAGCAATGCTTGAACTTGTGGCCATGCAGGAGGAAGAGGAGGGAGGTGCGTATGAGCTTGATGCTAACAGAGGCTCATTCCCATAATGCTAAGCAATGCTTTGTGTTTCATCTCATGGAGGCCTATGAGGCATTCATTGACCCTTGTTATAAAATCAGAAAGGGCAAGTGTCAAGCAGGCACATCATGGCACAGACCCAGTCAAGCACCTTGCCCACACCCTCAGCTGAAATCAACCGATATCCATCGAATCACCTGCAACAAGCACAACCTAAGCTGCCTTTTGGTATAAACCCCAATATATAGCCAAGCCAGAAACAATGCAAATTACTTTATCTGCAAAATGCGTTTTTAAGACAGGAATTATTTATGCAGCAATCCTAAAATTATTTGCTCAAATGCTTGTAAAGCTTTAAACACATTTCACCTCTCATTTGCTTTTAATATCTAATACACAGAAGAATATGGGATAACAATTTTAAAATTATGGAAGAAGAGAATGCTACAGTAAGGGTGTTAATAAATGTCAATTGCCCTGCATTTCTATAGTGACATACGGCAATCAGTTTTTTATATTACATTTAGATGCTGTACTAAAGTAAAAAAGAGAGATAAAACCTGCAACTGACATATACTGGTTAGAACTAAAAGGCACATTTCCATTACCTTTGTTAATTATTACACCATTTCTTAATCTGTTCCACTATAAGTGGCCAATAGAACATTAGCTTTTTATCTCTGAGGTGGTCAGAGTCTTACTGATGGGTCAATGATCTCTTAAAATGTGACTAACTGCATCAGCAAGTTTGAGCTTTGCTACGAGCTGCAACTGATTGTTGTAACGGCTCTTACTACACAATTAGAAGCCATGAAAGAAAAAAAGGGCTTGCACAAGCCACATAATAAGATAGAAAGTCTTTTGACACAAAACACTGCTATACCATTTCTCTCTCTCTCTCTCTCTCTCACACACACACACACACACACACGAGAATCTGTGGCGGGTTCTATTTTGTCTAGCAAATTATCTTTCATCACTTCAAAGACCAAATTAGAGAACAATGTTATAGTTACTTCTTAGCAAAACAATTAACAGCCTAATTCTATGCAGAGTTAGGCACACCTAAACTTAGGGAGGCCTAACTGGCTGTTAGAGGTTACTTATATAACACTTACTGTTATACACAGAAGAACAGCTAGAATGAAAATGTAGTATGTGCACAACTCACACGTTTAAAATCACAATTTGAGGACAAGAGAAACACTTGGGATTTCAAGCTGAAAACTACTCAAGGCGTTATTTAAATCTGCATTCCGGGGGGGAAAGCAAGTGGGGTGGAAAGAGGACACGTGATTCAGTCTCCAAAATGATTGATTTCTCCTAACCTGTTTCTACTCCCAGCCAAACAACTGTCCCACCACATGTGCCAGTAAGTGCCAATATCCTGGCAGTCCCTCCAGCACATGAGGAAGGAGCTCAATGACATATGAGCCATCCAATTTGGTGTCAGGTACCATTAACATGCTAATACCTCCCTCACATTTGCCAACATAGATTGATGTTTGTCTTGTACCACAAGGTCATCCAATCCTGCTCTTCAAGGGTCAACTGCAATTCTGTTTCCACCATATAGTTATGCCGTATATATACACTTTTATTCCTGGGCATCAATCATGGGTGTGATTAGGTGCCTTGCAAGTAGTAGCGAAGGTATGGACAACCTGGGCTTTCCAATATAAAGGCAGAAATTGAAAACCTTGGGCATTCCAGTTCATGGCTGAAAATTATTGCAGGTGTTCTCAGATCAGGGGATACCAACCTTTTCAGCCACTGACATTTTTGGACCCATCGGCACATTTGCAAACTGGAGAAACTGTCATGGGCATCACAAACACACCATAACCTGCCCCTCACTCTCCTCGCCTGAAATAAGACTTCACAACCCAAATTTATAATTACCCCTTTGAAATCATATGTTATTACAACAGTTTCTGCTTTAGTTTCCTGCAAAGGTATATTAGTGACTCACAGGAAACAGGTCAGGAAGAAACAGTTTTGCATTTCCAAGAATTCAGTGATGTGGAACACTTGATCTAAAATGTGAATAGACATCTTTGGTACAATCAGAAATATTTACGGTTATACAATGTCAAGTGCTCTTGGTTAAAGTGTAATGCATAGTCAACTTACGCAATGGAAGTGCTTTCTACTCAAGATAGATTTGGGACAGAGTTGTGCCCAGATGTGTTTTGGGAACAAACAATGGATAAGGATTACAGCATTTTGAATGTCAAGCCGATTGCTGTACTTGGGGTCATGAAATATTTTGCTCTAACAAAAAATTATTTTCAAATTTTAAGAGATGTTACATCTTTTTATTTCCTATGCAGCATGTGTGAACACATCACATAAACGTCCATATCTGTATGTACTGCTAAGCTTATGTGCACAGGCTCCTCCCTTGGGAAGCATTTACTGCTTAGTGGCACCAGTTTTTTTATGGGGCCAGCTACATACAAATAAATTGCTTGTAGAGCAAAATACACTGGCTCCAACACCACTATAGAGAACAGAGTGGACCCCAAGAATACAGTATGAGGCTAAATGTTCCCTGAGGCAAGTACAGTGGTATCTCGGGTTAAGAACTTAATTTGTTCCGAAGGTCCGTTCTTAACCTGAAACTGTTCTTAACCTGAGGTACCACTTTGGCTAATGGGGACTCCCGCTGCCGCTGCACCACCGCCGTGCAATTTATGTTCTCATCCTGAAGCAAAGTTCTTAACCTGAGGTACTATTTCTGGGTTAGCAGAGTCTGTAACCTGAAGCGTCTGTAACCTGAAGCATCTGTATCCCGAGGTACCACTGTACTTTCTTGACAGATTTTGTAACACTGTAATCTGCATTTACTTGCTTAGCTTTTCTTTTTGCTGAATTCCAAATGTGGGTGGAAAGTCTCACTAGCTATTGACCTCTGAGATCTTCTTCAAATGAACAGGTGTTTTGTTTCAGTCTTTCTGTAACAACCTACTTATGAAAAAATCCATGCAGAATGTAGTTGAGCTTCCCTAGAATGGTAGCTTAAAGTACTCACTCACATTTAAATGTGAGGCAAATCTATGGAATGCAAGGAATAAAGTTGGAATTGTCTGCATTAATAGTTCTGAACAATATTTTAAAAGTTAGCTTGATATGTAGCTAATTTTCTACAATTTTAATTGACAATAAGCTTCATTGAACAGGATGGCTCACTTTAAAGTGAATACAGGCATTTTCTACAATTTTAATTGACAATAAGCTTCATTGAACAGGATGGCTCACTTTAAAGTGAATACAGGCAACTCCCAATTTACATAGGGGTTACTTTCCATGACACCATACATTTAAGTGAAATCACATATATTTGAAACACCATTGAAAAAGCCTGCAAACACCCCATTCTGCCCCCACCCGTTTTTGTGATGTTTTTGGGACACTTCTGGGTTCAACACAATGTGCTTATGAGGAGTTGCACACATATTGAGCATGCTTAAAGGTGAAGTTGTCTGTATGTAGGGACAGCATATTTATTTACTTGATTATAGCCTGATTTTCCTCACAGGATGGACCCAAAGTAAGTTACAACTTCATAGAAGAACTCAAAAGTAAATCTATAACCAAAATTACCATAAAATTAATATTTTTATACTGTTTTGAAAATATTTACTAACCCCTCCCCCCAAACCCCCTGATGTTAGTTTTCCTAAAACGATTCCTATTGAACCAACTGAGTCTTGTGAGCCAGATTCACAACTGAAGTGTCAGAAGAGGTTCTGAGGCTCACAGCCAGTCATCAGCTTGACTTCTGATACTGATGGCATAAGGAGTAACACCTCACCAAAAGGTGTGAAGCAGGCATTCCCATTTATATTTCAATCTCTAGATCTAATTCTAGCCAAGGGTTTGATTGCTTCCAGACAACCTATTTATTGAGGGTTCATTTTGATGTTTGCCAGGTTAGACAATGCTGTGCCAAGCAAGCACCATTCTACACTTTCCTGTACATTTTCCTGTCATCTTCCTTATTGCCGCTGATAATTCTTGGAAGTAGGTTTGCTGCACAAGTCCTCTAAATCAGCTTTAACGGTGAAACCTGAATTTGCCAGCATGTGATTTAATCCTACCCACAAACTTGTGACAGTCTTGAAGCATCCCCACCCCACCCCACCCCGACTCACCTCACAGAAATTTGATTACAATTCTGTAGTCACTGCAGCTTAACTCAGATAATTCACAGGATCATTCTGTTAAACCTTTTTCAAAACGGCATTTTCACTGTAAACAAAAAATAAAGAACTCGGTTATCTACTTGCTTGTTATCAGCATGTGAATGTTAGCAGTTTCCACAAAATGTTCTCTGTTTATATAAACAGTTCTGCTAATTGTTCGTTTTAAATAGGAAAGAAACCAGTCTGCCACTACTGACTTTGGGCTGTTTCTAGATCAAATGCCACTTATCTATAAGACATTTGGAATAAGCAAGATGTTGATTTCTAGAGCTGTTTAAGGAAAAAAGAATACATCTATGACACAACTGTAAAAATTAGCAATGTTATTTTCCAAGATGAAAAAGACCAGAACTACTTTTTTAAAAAGAGTCAGCTATCATAATGCTTTCAATTCTTCATTGGGTGGGCAGGTGGATGGGACAAATGCATACTTAAGGCTGGCAGATTGAATATTCAGTGTAGGGTGGGGGAACCAGCATATCCATGTGCATGTCAGTACCTGGCAGCCCTGCTGACCCTGAGGCCTGTGAGTTTCCTCAGGCCTGGGAAGGGGAGCAAAACACCAGCTGGGGATGAAATATTTTACGTTACTCAAAAGCCAGAGAGAGAGAAACTGTTGGCACATAGTGGGGCCCTTGTTGTATGAGAGACAAAGAGGAAGAGAGTGGGTTGTCATGAGTGGTACCTCGGGTTAAGAACTTAATTCGTTCTGGAGGTCCATTCTTAACCTGAAACGGTTCTTAACCTGAGGTACCACTTTAGCTAATGGGGCCTCCCGCTGCTGCTGCGTGATCTCTGTTCTCATCCTGAAGCAAAGTTCTTAACCTGAGGTACTTTTTCTGGGTTAGCGGAGTCTGTAACCTGAAGCGTCTATAACCTGAAGTGTCTGTAACCACTGTATGGGTTGGGAACTATTGCTAATACCATTGGTTGTTTAATCAGTTTAAATGTTTTGCTTGTTTTTACGTACATATTTGGTTAAACTTAAAATGCTACTTTTTGCTGCTGTAGTTTTGCTTGATTAACTCATGATAGCATTGTTTATTGGTCCTGTTTATAATATTTTGTAATTTTTCTATATTGTTTTTCATCATTTATTTTTATTACTTTGTTCCCCACAGTGGGATTGAAAACATACAACTAAGAGTGGGCTATAAATACTGTAAATAAAAAAATATAAACTAAATAACCCACACCATCAGCAAACCTAGTAATAAGAGAACTAAGCAGATGGATCTTCTACAGAGGCAGCATTACAGAAGAAAGAAAATGAATTCTAGGGGCTTATGGAGCTTAGCAGCTACTCACACAACAACCAGCTGTACCAATAAGCAAGTAAACAACTTGCTTCTTTATCTTGGTTAATAGAAAAGCCCTGTCTCAGCTGCAGTTATCAAGTGCAATATTGTGCTGGTAAATTGTGCTCCAAAATTATCAACTCCCAATTTTTTTTTTTTGCAGAGAATAGTCAGTAGTTTTAACTGGAATTCAGCAAGCATCACAAGTAATAGTGCCTTTTAATATTTGCTTGAAGATACCAAATGACTCTGCATACACTCCAAAAATATATACTTCAATTACATTTTTATAGATATGTTCCAAAGGGCAGAACCAAAATCTAGTCAGTGCAGATTGTGTTAAGAAAAGCAGAAGCAGGTCCCTGGTTTTCATTAAGGACTGCTGCCATCTGAGGGCTGTTGACTGCCTGCATACCGTGTCCTTGAACTAGGGAGTCCTGTTGCAGTGACATCAGCACATAGTTAAAGTTAACTATGATTGCCCTTCTAATCATGGCTTGTGGTGGGTTCACAAACTATGCTTAAAACAAACCATGGGGGGCAGGGGGCAATGCCCCTTTGCAAACCATGTCCCATTATGTCTGAAACAGATTGAGATGGTAGAAAAAGAAGCAGTTTAGTTATTCAGTTTTGTTGTTATAGCAGCTCTTGCCTTTAAACCCCCTGTGTTCCTTTAAGTGAAAAGATACATTTTACAAAGTTTTTCTTGCTTGGGATTTGCAAGATGACTCATGGTGGAAGATGTGGTTTACTCATGCTTCAGTCAAATTGGCTTCTCTCATAAACACAAACTTCGTTTGAAGATGCTTCCTCTGCAGAATCCACATGCCTTTAAGAACTCCCCACTGAACTATGGAAAATCGCTCTTACAGTGGAGAATATATAACGGTCAAGAAAAATATGGTCAAGAAATAAACCATAGAGTGAGAGAAGACTTTGTCAGAACCAGGCAATAGGAAGCTCCCTTTCATCTGGAAAATGTATGCAACATGCTTAAATCCACACATAACCAGAAAGTTGTAATGCCAAAAACTCCAGTTAGCATAACACAAAAAGAAAAATGTGTGTACTCCAACAACTCAGTCCAAAACACTCTTGAAGACAAATACTAAAAGGGCAAAGCAGCTACTTGCTTATATAACTGGCTCGGCCACATTATGGTTTTCATCAACCTATAGCAAGTAACATAATTTCAAAGGAGATTATTATGCATTGCACAAAAATATGGCCATTCATGAAATTTTTTTTTAAAAAATCATTGTGCTTGTATTGTTGTATAGTGCCTGAATATTTTACATGAATTGGTGGAATGTAAATGTGGTTATAAAAGGAAAGTAAGATATACCTTTTGTCACATAGGTTACTGACACATAAACCTGCACCCCAATATTTGTCAGTGGGAACTGCCAACATAATGTAACCTACATAACAAAATGGAGAACAGCAAACAACAAACTATAAAAACTCCAGCCATTAAATCACCCTGAACACATCATCCCACTCCTCTTTCTACGTACCAAGAGACAACTATACTTACTTTTTGAAATACAAGGCAATAGTCTAAGGGTGTTGCTAATATTGCTTCAAAAGTATTTCCCATTGCTAAAAAGGTTATTTGTTTTTCATAAAATTGGTTAGAAAAATCTCCCTACAATCATAAACTAATTTAAATGCACACTGTTCTTTCCACTTCATATGTATTCCCAGCCCTGTAACCTTAGTTGATGTTGCAATATCCAGGCACCTGATAAAGAACTTTAAGGAAAAATATTTATGTAAAAGGCCATAGCAAGCAAGAAGCAGTAAGGGAGTACAGAGTGCATGAAACCAGTTTATGCTGGCCAACAGATCATATAAGCAACACAAGTTTAATGCAAGGGCAGTGTTTCAAACTGCCAGGTACAACATGTTGAGATTGATATTATGAGCTAAAATATAGGCCTGTAAAAGTCAGGGCTAAAGTATTTTATAATGGTCTAATGTTTACACATTACCCAATTGACAGAACTTTATTATAAATATAGTAAGAAAAACTAGTGCAGTGCTGATGGAGTTAGATTTGGAGAACTAAATTTAAATTCCACGGGTCAATTCTCTGGTTATGGCCAAGTTATTATTTCTCAAACTCTGGGACACGTGCGTAAAATGTAGGTCTTTCAGAACCAGGGTTATATGGTCCTGGCGGCTGCTCCAGTCACCAGTTTAGATGCTGCATTCTGGATTAGTTATAGTTTCAGAGTCACCTTCAAAGATAGCCCCACGTATAGCATGTCACAGTAGTCCAAGTGGGAGATAACCTTACACACACAGGGCTGTGTGCATAGTACAGCCTGTCATTCATAGAATTGATGTAAATAAGGCATCATTCATATCTCCAATGTGGGCTACATTTTGCAGAACTGATATGGTGTCTCACACAGGAAACAATAATATTAAATTATATGGCAAACTCAAGAAATGTGGTTAATTCCAGTTACCCAGTGAACAAAAGCAGTCACACATTCCTGCTTTTCCCAGGAAATGTGCTACGAATGGATGAAACACTCCTGGCAGTTTTCTTGTTGACATCTCTGAACAGGGCACTACTTCTGGAGTTCGCTGGTGGAAAGCAAATTATCTGATTGAAGAGGTACTTATTTCCCTTGGAACATTCCTTGTGCTGTTATTGTTTCAGTCTAACAGCAGGCTGGTAGGCTTCATCCTGTCCACTAGTAGGTGCCCCAGTCTGAAAACTGAAGCTCTTCCTATATTTGAACCACACATGAGACAGGAGGATTCCAGCTTGCTGTTTCACGGCTAGATCCCTTCCTTTCAAGTCTTGGCAAGCAAACTCTAGCTAAGTCAGCAGTTGGAACGTCCAGGAGGCTGGCGAAAATTACTTACTGTCATTGTCCTCCCCAGTATCTCTCTCTTTTTCTGCTGTTTGTCTTCTCTGGAAGAGAAACGAGAAAGCCAGCTGTAAATTATCTAACCTAGTGAGACAATCTTTCTATACTGTATTTAAGCTAGGCTGCTAAAGCTCCTTGACAGACAAAAAGAGCAGCACCAGCAGCTGGAACTTTATTGTATATTAACATTCTTTTTGTTTTTTTCTATGCTTGCTGAATTATTGATTTCATTTTCTTTGAATTTATTCCGTAAACTGCTTTCTCCACTGACCTCAACCTCTGCGTTTTGTATTTAATAGTAAGTGGATTTTTCTTGTAAGCTGCTTTGGGCAAACTCAATGTAGAAAGGCAACATATAAATAATGTATTAATTTATTATCCATCAAAAGACCTATTGGTTCTAAGCATGCCAGTCAGCTGTTTACTTGTAAAAATAATAATCTGCTACTCTCTTTGTGTGCACCATAAGCAAACCACACACCATAAGCCATCTGCCAAGGTATGGAGGAGGAAAAATAACCATTTCTTAGACTAGAAGCAGCTCCAAGAGAACACACACGGTCTTAAAGGTGCACTGTCACCAATTTTGGTCATTTGCACCACAGAAAAACAGCGATTCTAGTCTATTTTCCCAAGGGAAGAATTTTTCCAGGATTGTTCCAGGCCTTCTCAGTAGTCATCTGAAGACAGCCCTGTTCTGATATTTTAATGTATTTTTAATCTCCTGTTGGAAGCTGCCCAGAGTGGCTGGGGAAATGGGTGGGGTATAAGTAATAAATAATAATAATAATAATAATAATTATTATTATTATTATAGTCGAGCATACACTGTGATATGCCCTCCCGTAGGATGTCAAAAAAATAAAGTACTCTGACTTTTAGAAGACATCTGAAGGCAGTCTTGTACAGTATAGGGAAGTTTTAAATGCTTGATGTTTTAAGTTAATATGTTTCAGCAAAATTGAGTAAGAAGTACTCTGGATCAAAAAGAAAAGGGTCACTTGCAGGGGTTCTTTTGAGCAGGAACTGTGGGGAACGGAGTCCCTTTACTTTTTAAAAATTAATTATTATTATTTGTCCGGGGGGGGCTGGAACATGCACCCAATGCCCGAGCCAAAAATCCACCTGCACCCGTAATCAATTAAACTGTGGTTATTCCTAATCCAGATCATGGTCTGTTTGAGTTGATTAATCACATCTTACATTTTGCCACTGCCTCGCCCTGCGATTGGGCCCGCAATAAACAAAGCAAACTTCCTGGCGAGTTTCCCCCTACTTCCTTCCCCCCGATAAAAATCAAGAAAGCAGCACTGGTCACTCATGGATGCGGTGTGCGAAGTGTGAGGCAAGACATTTCCAGGAGAGCCTGAGGGAAGCCACCGCCGAGCAGCGCAATACGGGGGAAGGCACACAGGGAGGAGAGGAATGCAAGGCGGCCCTCGGTGCATGTCAGAGAGGCCAGCGAGGCCTTCCTTTATTTACTAAAGCGGGGAGCCTCACGGCAGCTACCCTCCCGCGCCCACCGGCTTCGCCCGGAAACAGCCGACTTACCACCCCCGAACATACACCCCAACGGTTAAAATACAACCGCCGCTACGCGCGCTTTGCTAAAAAGGAGGCGGGACAAACCGGATCCCTCACCCAATCAAAAAGCTCTCTCTTACCTCAGACCCGCTTTCCCTCCGCCGCCGCACCGCGCAGGCGCGCTTCCAAAAAAAAAAAAAGCGCCGCCCGAGAACACGGGCTCCTCCCACAGCCGCCGAAGGAGGTGGCGGTTAGTGGAATGGGTGCGCCTGCGCAATGGGAGGAGGTATTACCACGACCCCTTCCCTTCCCCACCCTTTGGGCCCGCCCCCTGTTTGCCTCCCGCGGAGGGGCCCATTTAAAGGCAGCGGCGGGGGCCCGCTTGCCCTTGTTGTCGAGCCATTGGGCAGCAGCTTCCCTCCTCCTCCTCCCTTTGCTCCTCCCACCCCTTTTTCCCCGCCCTGCCGCGTCGACGCCCTTCAGTTTCCCCCCCTCTCAGAGCGGCGAGCGCCAGCCCAGCGTCTCCCTTGCCCTTTTGCCGCCGCTGAGGTAAACCGCCGGCCGCCCCCCCTCCGCCCCACGAGCCCCTTTTCGCCGCCGCTACCATGTACCGCTGCCTCGGGGAGCTCCTGGCGCCCGTCCGCGCCGCGGGCTCGCCGGCACTGTCCGGCGCGGAGCCGTGCGCGGCTGCCCTGCTGGCGGGGAGCGGTCCGGGGAGGAGGAGGGCGACGACGACGAGTCGGGACGACGGCGGGCGCCGCCAATACAGCCAAGCGGTGTCGGCGTCGGAGGACGACCCCAACTTCTTCAAGATGGTGGAGGGCTTCTTCGACCGGGGCGCCGGCATCGTGGAGGACAAGCTGGTGGAAGGGCTGCGCACCCGCGAGAGCCCCGAGGAGAAGCGGCACCGCGTCCGCGGCATCCTGCGCATCATCAAGCCCTGCAACCACGTGCTCAGCGTCTCCTTCCCCATCAAGCGGGAAAACGGCGAGTGGGAGGTGGTCGAGGGCTACCGGGCGCAGCACAGCCAGCACCGCACCCCCTGCAAGGGAGGTGAGCCTCGCCTCCCCGAATACCCAGCCCCTCCTCCGCTTATTTCCGTGCGCGGCGTAATGTTTTCTCAAAACTTGGGTTCTTGTCGGACTACAACTCCCATCGTCCCTGACCACCGGTCCTGCTAGCTCTAGGGATGATGGGAGTTGTAGTCCGACAAGAGCCGAGAACCCAAGTTTGAGAAACGCCATCAGTCTGTTGTAATATGGCCTGGGGGACCAGAGTTCGAATGAGCCACGAAGCTCGCTGGGTGGCCTTGTGTTTAACTGCTTCTTTGGGGATCACTCCTAGCCGAGTAGAATTGTCTTCCATAAACACGGTTTTTACAGCGAGTCCTACCTCACAGGGTTGTTGGAAGGAGAGGAACCCTGCACACCGCATTGAGCTCCTTGGAAGAAGTGGTGGTGTACTGTATAAATAATAAAAACCACCTCGCCAAGCTGCTTGGTTTTCTTCCTCCCGAGTTGATTGATGAATAGAGCCCCAATGCAAAAAAACAAACCAAAAAAAAAAAGGCCAGCTCAAAGCCTGTTCATTAAAACCAAAGAAAACAAGAGGAAGGGGGGGAACCCTGAGTCACAATGAATGGGAAACAGCATAGTCCCAGCCAAGATAACGCGCTGTATTCTGTGTCCCAGCCAAAATAACTGTGTATCCATTGTAGCTTGGAAAGTGCACAGTCTTTGAAGTGGTGCATGAATCTTAGCTTTTTTGCAGCAGCAGCAGTGGACTACTGAAGGTGGTAGCCCAGAGCTGAGTTTTCCTCATCAGTAACTTTAGCAAAGTAAATGCCTTCCTACCATCTTCCCCACCAACATAGTCTGGAGTTACCATTTGCATTGGGTGTGTGTACACCATGTACTTTGCAACTGAAGTAAACAGGTCTGCTGAGTGGGTTGGCTGTAATGTAGTCATTGCCCCCTTGAGAGCTTTCCCTTCTAATATGACTATTGTGGTTTCAACAGCTTAAAAAAAATTAGTTTTGTGCCTGTTTACTCAGGAGTAAGTCCCGTGTAACCCAAAAGATCTTTGGAGTAAACCTGCATATAAGATGAGGCTCCTTGGATTAGGTCACTTGCACATACGTGCTCAGCACTTAATTTATCACAATCAATTATTGTACCTGGGATGACTCCATTAGAAAGTATAGTCGTTAACAGGAAGTATCATAGTACTGAATTTGTATGTAACCTCCCTTCCTGTGGTGTATGTGATCAGGATTCCACTTATTTTTAGCTTTGTAACAGTATCTTAAAGTAGTTTGGGATGAGAGAGACTGACCCATGATCACCTGGTGAGGTGTGTGTTTTTTTGTGTCTCAGATTCTCTCATTCTAAATATGTGATGTCTTCTTTGCATCTGCCAAGAAATGACTTGCAGAAGTCATCAGAAGCTGAAAGTGAAAGTGGGAGCAATCTCTTAACTGGTGAAGTCTGCACAGAACAAAGATGTGAAAAGCTCGCCTGCTAAATTTCTGCCGGCCAGGCAGTTTTACACATGCAAAGAATAAAATACATGGCAACTAACTATTTTGTGCAGGCAAATGCGTGGCTAGCCTGGCTGCCATGTTGGCATCACTGGCATCATGACGGGAATTTGCATCGCAAGCAGAAGGTCCTAGGTTTAATCCCAGGCATTTCAAAATAGGGTTGGGAGAAACTTCTACCTGAAATCCTGGAGGGCCACTACCTCTATAAGGCAGCTTCCTATGTTCCTATTTTCCACAGTGCCTTGGATCTTGCACTGTTTGGGGGTATTGTGGAAGAGAAATGGCACCCACCACAAAAAAATAGTTAAGAATATTCAGAGAAACCTCTGCAGTGGGCTCTTTCTAAGCAGTGAAGGGAGGAAATATCAAAAAATTCCCTTAAAAAGCTGAGAAATTCGGCTTTGCTGTAATAGTACATACCAAGAGTAAGTACCTTCTCCAGTTTTGAAACTCATTGTTCTAGGCTCATTTTGCTACAATTTCATTATCCTGAGCAGTTTCTGAATTCTGGGCGCAGTACTACACCTAAGATTTCAGATTAAAAGTGGGAGGAAAGGAGGACCTTTTTCTGCCTCCCTGCTTCCAACTACTCTCTGAAGACTGGAGAAGAGACCCTCTTTAGAATATTAGGGAGGTTGGCAGGAGAAGGACTAGACCAGGGGTCAGCAAGGTTTACTTCGCCTGAGCCGGTACACTCCAGCCGAGATCCCTCCATGGGCCGGATTGCGTGAGTGCCCATGATGTCCTGTGTCTGTGCAGATGTATTTTCCTGTGTCTGTGTGTGCAGATGCAATTTTCGGCATCTGCACATGCACAGATGCAATTTTTGGTGCAGCGGAAGCAAGTTCCCACCCCGTGCGGCGCTGGTTTAGCGCTGCATGCGGGAACTTGATGAGCAGGCGGCTCAGCTCGGGGGTGGCTTGTGGGCCAGTTAAACAACCCCCGTGAGCCACTTGTGGCCCACGGGCCTTAGGTTGCCAACACCTGGACTAGACTATGGGAAAAATTAACATAATACTTTAGCTGCCGTTCATCCATTTTCAGCTTTGTATTCTTGTTTAAAAAAAAAAGCACACCTAGACATTCCGTTGTTGCGCCCATAACCTAGGTTTAAGGTGCCATTTAGCTCCTAGCTTTCATATCTCAGTTTCTAACACTGGTCTTCTCTCCTACACTTCTTACAGAAATTGTTTTCTAGTTTGCTAACTACATAAAGTATAGAATTCTGTGTAGAATTCTTATGTGCCCTTCCATAATTGTTTCCATACCACCTATATAATTTAAGTAGGTAATTACTATTTAAAAATTGTTCTTTCGGGAGTAGTCATACGCTGTATAGTAGGCAGTCTCTCCTGCAGAAGAACTCGTCTATGATTTACATACTCCAGCACCATATCTATATTCATGACGTTGGGAGTAAATGTGCCTTGAGGGTATGTAAGATGGAAGTAATTGTTTGTACCTTGGGAAGCAACACTTAATTTCTTTGGGAATGGAGGAGGAAATACTGTTTCCAAAGGCAAATTGTTGAGTAATCCTGTAGGGATTATTCAGTATTAGGTGCCTCACTCCACACATGAGAACATACGCTCATAGAAGACAGAGTAGAGCTTTGGCATTTATCATTAAGTTAAATAAGTGCCTTTTAATTTTTTTGTCTGCTTGCTTGTGTGATCAGGGTAGAACTATAATGCAATCATATACATGTTTACTCAGAAGTAAGACTTTCAGCATGGCTTATTCTTGTGACATCTCATATGTTCCATGCAGATTAGCTGAGGAAGCCAAGGATCAGAAAGGGGGCAATTTGCATCCTCATGAGGAGGCTTTGTGGAGAGGTTTAAACGTGTCTGCCCAGTACTGAAACTACTTTAATAAAAAAATTAGATATTTGGGCTGCTGTAGCTAGAAAAACATAATTGGGGTGGGGGGCAGATTAGACCATAATGCATGTGGCAGTCAGTTGCCTAAGGGCAAATCCTGCAAAAACCTAAGAACTCTAAAAACATCCTTTCTATGGTATTCTGTGCTCCTGATGAGGTTACATTGGTACAAAAGTTGTTAGGGTGCATTTTGGCAATCAGAGAATTTAATCTCTTGTTCCGAAAGAAAATCATTTCAACATTTATCCTCATCTCAGCCCTATGACAACTGAACTTCCTCCAAATTCTTGCAGCAGCTCACCACAGACTTCTTTCCTGTTGAGTTTTATAAAAAGATCCTTTGTGGAATAGAGGAACTTAGTGTGCAAAGTTTCAAAGAAGCTGGTTATTTATTGGGATTGTCCTCCTTGAAGCTCCTGTGATTTTTGCTTAATCTTCAGTGGCTGTATCAGCCTCAGATGTAAGTACAAGAGCTGTTTGGTATGCCAAAATCATGCTTTAAGTTTGGTAATGCAGAACAGTATGTATGTTTATTCTTCAGACAGTGGAGTTTACAAAAGAAATTGAAACATCCAGATAAATGCTCACTAAATCTGAATAACAAATGGAAAGGAAATCCTATAATACAGCCTATAAATACTAGCAGAACCATATCTA